GATTTTAAAACGCTCAAAGCCCTTGCTGAGTCCATGTGTACTTATGGGGTGACTGCGGCCTTTACCACGGCGCAGGTGGAAGCTCACTTGCCATTGCATGACTCCAAGTGATTGGATGAGTTTAGTACAAGCTTGCTTAACCCCGTGGCAATATTTAGACTGGAAAGCCTTCTTAATAGTGTTTGCCAATGAGCAGGCTGCCGTTAATCGAGCAGCAGGAAACGCAGCCTGGGATGTGGACATGTTGCTGGGGCAGGGTCGGCAGCAAACAGGATACCCATTACAGGTCTTCGAGGAGATCAATATCATAGCAGCTCGAGTCTGGGAATCAATGCCCAATAAAGGAGAAGTGAGTGGCAATTTTACTAAGATCATCACTAAGATCATTCAAGGCCCCATGTAACCATTCTCTGACTTTGTAGCAAGAAGGTTGAGGCAGCAGGAAGGGTCTTTGGAGATCCCAATCTAGCTATGCCCTTAATAAAACAGCTTGTATTTGAACAATGCGCTAAGGAATGCAAGGCGGCTATTACTCCTTATAAACATAAAGTATTAGAGGCTTGCAGTAAAGAACCTATTAAGGGTGCTGTGAATATTTTTACTGATGGATCCAAGACTGGGTGTGGTGCCTATGTAATTGGGGAGAGTGCCCCAGTTGTTTGTCAATTTATACCAGGATCACCTCAAATGGTGGAATTCCAAATAGTTCTTGAAGTGTTTAAAAGTGTCCCTGAGACCTTCAATTTGATCTCAGATTCTAATTATGTGGTTAATCTAGTTAAGGATTTAGAAGTCGCTGGGAAAATAAAGGTAAATAGTCCCATTCAAAATTATGTGAACCAGCTACAAGAAATTATTTGGAAGCGCTCGCAACCCTTTTATATTCAGCATATTAGAGCGCATACTGGTCTGCCTGGAGCAATTAGTGAAAAGGATGATTTAGTGGATAAATGTACCAGAATGCAGTTTGCATTCGCCTCCCTTCCATTGGATAGAGCTCAACAATTTCATTCACAATTCCATGTTAATTCCTAAAACTTTGCAATGCCGCTGCTCGTGATATGGTTAAGGATTGTAAGGATTGTGTTACTTTCCTACATCCTCCAGCTTAGGGAGTAAATCCTAGAGGATTGACTCTGCTTAAGTTATGGCAAATGGATGTTACTCATATTCCTGAATTTGGGACATTAAAATATGTGCATGTATCTATGGATACCTGTTCTGGAGTGATACATGCTACCCCCTTAAGTGGGGAAAAACAAGGAATGTAATTGCCCACTGCTTGGAAGCTTGGGCTGCATGGGGCATGCCACAACAACTGAAATCAGCTAACAGACCAGCGTATACCGCTGTATGCTTTTCTGCCTTTTGCAAACAAATTCATATAGATTTGAAGCATGGACTTCCTTATAATCCTCAAGGTCAAGGTATCATTGAATGAGCTCATAGAACCTTGAAGGAATGCCTAATAAAACAAAAAGGGGGAATAGGCCAAGGCTGCACCACCAAGGAAAGAATATCTTTAGCTTTATTGACTCTTAATTTTTTTTTCAACTGGATGTGGATGGGCGTTCAGCTGCTGATCGCCATCATAGTGCCCTTTCCTGTACTAAGGGATTGGTAAAATGAAAGGATGTCATTACTGGACTGTGGAAGGGTCCTGACTCTGCCATCATGGGCGAGAGGGTTTGTTTGTGTTTTCCCGAAGGATCAATCAGAGCCGGTGTGGGTTCCAGAAAGGCTGACAAGAAGAGTCCCTGCCTCTGAGGATGGTATAAGGATCAATCAGAGCCGATGTGGGTTCCAGAAAGGCT